CATACATACACACACACGCACGCACGCACGCATGCACTCACGCACGCACGCACGCACGCACGCACACACACACACACACACACACACACACTGTATCTTCTTCTCTCTCTGTGTAAACACATTGTGTTCCTCCTGGAGGAACACTATAGCTGAGGAAAAACACCAATAACAAGCACAGAGTTAAGAGCCAGAATCAATTTCTCACTGTGTGTGTGTGTGTGTGTGTGTGTGTGTGTGTGTGTGTGTGTGTGTATGAGGCACATATAGCAAGACCTCTTTGGAAAGTGGTGATTATACTTAGATTTAGAATCACTTTCAGGGAAATGACTGTAATCATTAATGGGGGAGGGATGTATGACTGTCTGTGTGTGTTTGTTTAAAGGAAGGAAGTTAAAAGCAGCTTTTATATTATAGGAAAATTGAAAATGCCTATGCATAAAGAGAAGACACACACAGCCTATGCAGTCACTGACCACGTTGACAGTGCGCTGCGCACTTTCCCTTCTTGTAGTGGAGATTATTGCTGTTGGCTTTTTGGCAAAAACATCCTCCGGGTGATTGTGGGAACGTTGGCGCAGCTCCTGCACTTGGATCAGCGAGTGCACAGCTGAATTAGAAATACTGACGGCAAGAGTGCACTACACTGAAGCCATGCCGCATGCGCCACCTCGTCCACGCCACGTCTACAAGGAAGCTGAATCTGTGCTCAAGGGTTTGCATTTGTGGGACTTAGCGCTGCATGCTGCTGCAGGAGCAATGTGAGAATTGGTGATTTGCTGTAAGGGGCCTTAGCTTTGAATACATTCTTAATGAGTGCTGCATCATGATAGCACTGGGTTATTTTTTTTTCTGTTACTTGTGAAAGCTGTTGCTTTTCTGCATACTCTTATCCATAGTTGATGTTAGTTTTTACATGCATTAGACATCTTAGTATATTCCGGATATAAGTTGTCTCAGTTTTTGCAGCCATATGCAAAATATATCCGACATCTTTCTGAGGAAGGTCTGCCTCACCCACTCCTCACTTTCAACTCCAAGATGTTTTAGCGGTGCCTTGCATGTTCAGCTCATGTCAATTTACTGCCAGGATCTAAATGAGATCAAGAACTGGCCTTTGACTAGGCTATTCCAGAACTTTCCAATTCTTCATTTTTGGTTTATCACTAATATTTCTTCTGCCCACAGAACATGATTTCAGATGTTCTGGTCTTTTTCTAAGTTCCCTTTGGTGAGCTTTAGTTCGGCAAGACTGTTTTTCTGCTCTGACTCTTGCAGAAAATCCTTTTTGTCTAATGTACTAGTTGTTTTATGTGCAATTATTCTTTTCAGGTGTGGTGCAGCAGAGGCACTTCTAAAAGTTGCAGGACAGAGGCCCTTGAGGACTGGAGTTTGACACCCCTGTCAATGAATGACAGGTTAAAAACATATGATTTCGTTTCTCAAAGGTTGGTTGTGCTTTGCATAAAACAAGAGTTTTTCCTGTTTCTGCTTGCTGATGGAAGCTGAAGTATGGAGGACGAGCGATAGAGGCATGCAGGGACGAGGTTGGCTGTTCATATGGTTGCACAGCCTTTTCGTCGTGGGTGAGGAGGAGCTGATCAGCAAGGGGGAACAAGCACCATCTATCTCTGGACAGCAGACCTGCACACTCTAATGCGCTCTGTCTCCCACAAAACAAAACAGCTCACTTACTCGAGCACAGCTTTGATTTCCAAATCTGAAGCAAATGAATGTGCATAAGAGCACAAACACTCGCAAGGGATGGAAAAAAAAAAAAAGAAAAGAGGTACATCTTACTTATGTAATTCAGTCCTATCACGTATGAGTCCCCAGAACAAATTTGGTGAGATTAACCTTAGTTTTTTTTTTAACCGGAGGTTAACTCAGGTTAAAAAAGGTTTTCACCTTCAATTCATGTCATTTAGCAAAAATTTGCAAAAATTATAATATATGATTTTAAAAAACGTGTCAGATTACATCCAAATTTGAAAGAGCATGAAGGAAATATTTCTTTCTTATTCAAAACACAGTTGGGGAAATGTTGTTATTGGGCCAGATTAGTTCTGTAAATAAGGAATGTCAGTAAATTACATCAAAATTAAGCAGTAGTGACCAACAACAACTTTTTCCAGATGCAATTTAACATGCATTATTTCCTTGATGTTAAAGAAGAGAGGAAAGAGCCTTGATTTTTTGGGATTCAGTCTTCTTAGGCTACTGAATGTGCCATTGTCACTCTTCTGCTTACTATAGACTGAACAGTCACTTCAGTGTTCTCTGTGCAAAAAAGCCCAGACATGAATAATACATAGAATGACTAGATCTTATTCCATCTACATTTATGCAAATTACTTGGGTTATTATATATATATATCTTAGCTGTGAGGCTCAATAAAAGTGTTTTCCAAGTCTAAAAAGCTTCAGACAAATATCCACAATAACGCAATATACAAGTTTATTTCGCATCATAAATTTGAACATAAAACATCTATGAAAAAATGCAAAATTTACAGCTGGACGACGCATTGAAAGAAGCTAACAGAATATAGTTAGCTACCTACCTACATAACTTAAATTTATTTTTATTTATTTATGTATTTTTTTACATTCCTTTGATTAATTGCAGAGCGTCTCGCTGTTATTTATTTATTGTTCTGGAAGGCCAGAGGAATTTAGGGACACAAGTCACACCACCAGAACGACATGAACAAAAGCTGCAACAACACCTCCAGGGAAACAATGTAATCTCATTATGTAAAAACTAAGAATGTAATTATTTTTGTCTACTTGAATTAAGAATACAGACACACACACACAAAAAAAGAATCCTTATTTTTCTAACTAAATTATATTTCTCTTGATCTTCGCTCCCTGTCTTGCTCTCCCCAGGGAAAGCGCTCGCCGTCTGTTGCTGAGAAGAGAAGAGCTGCAGTCACACTGCTGTCAGAAAGTAGGTCAACCTATCCCACATTTCACTGCATGCCCAAAGCAGATGGGGTGACAGCGGTAATTGGCATCAGGGGCCGAGGCGTGCTGTGATGGCTCTGTCTCCTGAGATAATGCATCTCTGCAGGGGTGGCTGTGAAAAACCTGGCGAGCGGCGTCAAAGCAAAAGGGAAACAGCTCCCCGTGCTGGCCCGAACGATGTGCAGCAAAGGCACACGAAGTCAGAAAGTGTCAGGATTTTCAAAGATTTATCAGAACTTCTCTCATCAGAGACGGACGCGCGCCATTTCTATTTAAAGAGCTATTGTGCTGCTACACACAGAATTAGCCTCCATCTGCTGTGGCTTTGGCTGATGCTTTCTGTTCGGATGTAAAATATTTCAAAACACGAACTTTTTCTTTTAATCCGACACAAAAATGCACAAAAAGGGACAATTTAAAAGAAACATACAGTGTAATATATGTTAAATAAACCTCTACATCCCATTTACTGCTATTAAGCAGGACCAATTAGGGAATAATCATGTTATCTATGTAATTTGACAGCTATCAGGGCAGATTAAGGGTCTTACTGTGTGTGATAATTGCATGTGATGTGGGAACATCCACTTGAGTCAGGGTCTTCCCTTTCTGCCAGTCATTACGCGACTGTTCCACCCACTTAAAGTGAACAAAGATGGACACCTAGTGGTAGAAAAAGTAAATCAGGAAAATAATCTGCTTGCATTAAAATGTAATTCATTTAATGCAGGTACAAAGCATCATCCCCCCCCCCAAAAGCACGAGTACTTATCTCTTTAAAAGCACTCTAAAGAATCAGTTTCAGCTGAAAACCTCATAAGAATGAAGAATAATCACTAAGAGAATATTATTTTCTTCTTTTTCATGCCTTGCGACTTCTGTAACTGCACACACAACAGAGTGGCCCTTTATCTTAACTCAGGAGGATTTGTGGGACCCTGAGTCTTCCACGTCTTTGTTTCTCACTCTGTCTTGGTACTTCACTCTTTGCCTGCTCAATTCTGTCTTTTCCTTTCAATTTACGTTTTTGTGTGTGCTTCTAAATACAAACTTGAACGCGTCTTCCCATCTGCTTTCGCAATGAACTTGCTGTTGAAATAATGTCGGCAAGCATTAAATAAATGCAGATAATATTTACACCATCTGTCTTTCCAAATCTACTGCTTTTGCTAATTTATGCAAAAACTTTTACTTAAAAGCATAATGGGCCAGACTCCAGGTATATCTATGTCTTATCATCTATCATCTACTTGAATAAATGTCTAGGTTATTTCATGTTGTCGGTTAATGCAAGCAGTGGTGTGACTTTTCATATGTACAATGTGGCTTTCTGCCCAGGGTGGAATACAGTTGGGGGACTACATAATGAAAAAATTAAAAATGTTATCCAACAGCTAAGAGTACGTAGTTTAAATGCCCTTCCAGTGAATTATGTCAAGCTGTTATTTTTATATGAAAATTAGTTCACTAAACTCCAGTGGTCTGCACAGTTGGTCTGGTAGATTAACTTTAGGATGTGGTGCAACAAGAGGTTTGCATCATTGGTTTTGAAGCCACAACTTCGCCAGCAGCTGTAAAGCGATGTTGTCAATGTGGATTAAAATCTCAAAGCAGCGTTCTAATATCTTCTTAAACCAATGCAAATTAGATTTAAGGCATTTCGAAGAGCCAAAACTAGGTCTGCTCTGGTGTGATAGCTGGAAATGAGTCTAATTGGTTGGTTGGTGTTTTTGCATTAGGCTACTCCTTTATGTCCAAGTGATATCACTGTTTTTAATGGGATGAAATATTTAAATACAGTACAGTGGGCCTCCCTCAAATAAGTGAAATATTGAAACCCTTCTCTGTTTTAAAAGTTCAAACATCAAGTATACCAATAAATTTCCAACCATAGTGTATACCACAGAACATCCATCGTCTTCCATTTCTCTTCTCTTAGGGATACGATCAGCATTAAAATAAATGCCACTCCAGGATTGGCTGCTTTGCAAACACCAACCAATAATTAGGTTCTAAGAATCATTTTCAAACCCTCAGATTGCTTAAATACTTTATTCGCTTTGATATAACAAGTTTAGTAAATTAGTCACATCTTTCCCAAGTGTTAATTATGACATCATGTTGCCCTCTTACAAATACTTGCCAGTGATGCTTTACTAAATTTGATGTAACAAGTATGTAAAACATTCCTTTAGCTGTGCATGACCTAAAACTACAACACTAAAGCCTTTTTCTCTTTAATAAGACTAAAAACAAACTTTTTTGAGCAAACATACACAATACAATTCTATCACTGATACAGCAGCAGCCTTGTTTTTTCTTTTTTCCTCATAAGGCACATTTACCAAAAATAAAACTCTGTATTACAAGAAAATGCATATATTACACACTTTTTTTTCCCCCCTTCTCACAGTTTAACATCATACCTCGTTTAGTGCAAAACCGTTCCCGAAGTCTTTTTATTTCAGATTTATTGTAGAGCCTCAGTGCACCGAAGGTAAATGGTCATACAGGCGCCTTATGGCAGATAGAACGGCAGAACCCGGGCAATGTTCTGCCGACAGATGGGGCACGTTCTTTGTGGGAGGGCCCGGAAGCAGGTGAAGCAGCAGCACACGTGTGCACAGTTCAACAGGATGCAGTCCCTTGGTTGACTGAGACAGATCACACAGACATTCCCCATTTGATTGTTATCTCCCTCTTCAAAACCTTCTACATTTGCTCTTTCGGCATGCAGTCTTGCGGCTTCGGCTTGCATACGGACAAACTCCCTGTTTATTGCCTCCTGCTCCCAGCGATCCTTAAGGATGCGGTAGAATCGCAGGCCGGCCCAGAAGAGCACTGCTGTCCCGGCCAAGGCCGAGACGACAGCTAGCACCTTCCAAAAACCAGCTATGTTGTGAATTTCATTTTGCAGGTTTTCAAAGTCTGTCAAGCTCAAAAAATATGGAGAATTATCAGAGGGGGGCCGAAGAGTCACAGTGCCGTCTGTGTCTAGGGTCAACTCGCCGATGCCGATAAGCGTTGTGCCCACCTTTAAGAGAGTTTGATTATCATCAGAAATATCTGCCTTTGTAAGAAGCATCAAAACTATGAAACATCTAAAGTAAGACTTTAGATTCATCTACAAACTGACCTTAAGCATTTCTTCAATCTCCAGGACTCCTTTAGACTTTTCTCCACTGAGGAAAAATCCTACAAGCTCTCCAAAACCTAGAGTGGGCTGGTGAAATTTCTCATTGATGACCTCTGTGTACCTTCCAGCTGCTTGTAGAGGAGACTGAACTTTGACCGCAGCCTCGTCTAATCCAAGCAAAACAAAGGGCACCATATTCACTCTTTGGTGTAAGATGCGTTCTGAGTCCCTCCTGTAGAAAGCAGAGCCAAAGAAAGGGAAAGTGGTTCTGCTTAGCAAAAATAAAATGTAAAGTTTTAAACTATGTGCGATGATATCATGCACTTTAGGTATTATTGAGTTTACAAATGTAAGGTCATTCTTAAACAAAGTGGAAAAATTAGTATACAGTTGTCAATAAAAAAAAAAACATCTTGGTGTACATTGGTAAAATCAAATGCCATCAAAGGTCACCTAATTAGGAAATATACTTCAACTGTAATTTATATAGAGATAATTCAGTTTCATTCAGTTTTAATTTTGCTCAAAACGATCACAAAAACAGTCTTTGGCAGTATTGGTTAGTAAATAATATCTTTCTGTAGATGGCGCCATTTTGTAGCTGGAAAGCATGAATGTGTGTGGATAACCGGTTGTTAAGTTGTATTTAATATATTTCTAACAACATTTGAATAAAATCATAGGATCTTTTGAAAGTGAGCTAATTTGTTTGGGTGAAATATTCTGGTCCTATATAGGAGGGCTTAATAGTAGTATTATTTTTTTGTGTACTACTTGTTTATTTTTTGCAATTCATTTACAATCTTATTGCTTTATTCATCATGGAATGCTAAATTACTTTGTTAAAATGTAGGATAGGAATACTACTTGGAATGGGATTCAAGAAAAAGTTAAAGCTCTGCTCAGTAAGTGCAATACTTTTTACAAGCTCATTACAGAATAATTCTAGATTATTGTGATATTTTTTTTCCCCATTATCAAGCTGCCCTATTATATAATGCACAGAGAAAGTATCCAGAATCCAATAGGAGGAACATCTGTAAGGCATTTAAATGGCAAACATGCTATCTCAAAACATATGAAACAATAGTTTGAAACCTGATATAATACCAAACATTTCATATGTGTTTATATCACTCTCACCATGTGCGGGAAATGCTGCTCCATATCAGCCTGTGTTCTACAATTGTAAATCTTTGCAACACACCAGAAATGTCTTTGCTGAAACAGCTTGTTAGAGGCTCATCCACTGGCTTTACTGTACCTACATGTGGACACATGCATCCAGGAGAAGGAAATATGAACCTTGAATGTCTTTCACTGTTCAAGGCATTCAGTTCACGTCTGTATCAAAACAGTGACGTTCTGATTACCTTCCACCACGGCATACTGTAGGCAGGCTCCAGGAGTGACTTTCAAAAGTTCTTCGAGGTTTCCATCTATACTAATGTGTGGAGCATTCTGGAAAGAAGATAAATCGGTAAAAATATGCTCTACATGGTACATTCACAGGTCTGCATGTAGTACAGTTACACTACTAACTGGTGTAACTTTCCAACAAAGGTTGTAGTTTCAGTGAATTTCCACAAAAGTATAGAAAAGTATCTTTTTTTTAACCTTTATCTTTTTTTTCCTCAATAGTTATTGTAGTATTACCGACTGTTATGGTTAACATACTTCATCATGAAGATTATATTTTATTTCAAATGTGTCAGTCTTGCGTGTAATGAGCAGCTGACAATATACACTGCAGCTTCAGAAAACCTGGATCACTTGCAAGCAACAACTCAAAGGTTCAAACACTTTAAGTACAAAAGCAATCAGATGTTAGATGAACACATTTCCAGGGTAAGTATATTTATATATATATAAAAAATACTTACTTCAAGTTTCTTAACTATTAATCTACTTCTTTTGTATAGATAGTAAAAGACGCCAGAGAGGCTCAAGCTGGCACCAAGGCACATTGCCTCTGTAAAGGTCGGAGAAAACCCATTCATTCTCTGGGCGTCCTATCACAGCCCTGAAACCAGAAAAGAAACCACAAACAATATGTGAGAACGAGTAGCAAGACTTACAGTGACATTGTTGATATGTTTCACAAATAGTACAGCCATTTTTAGAAAAGGACACCCATATTTTTGCATCTGTGTTTTTTGGACTTGTATTTGTTTTCCCATTTACCTTTTCCATTCATTATAACAGAATGGAATCTGCGGGTCTGTTGTGGTTCACTTGGTGTTAGATTTATATTATTTTAGAGCCTAGAAATGGGCTGGTTCCTTTAATCAAACTACCGTTTTAACGCTGCAACAATTTGACAACATATTGTTTCTATGGTGTTACCCCTCACCACGGGTTGTTGCGCCCTATTGGTCCACTGGTTGAAAGAAAGTTCAAATAATTTTCTCTTGCTTACACGTATGGGTGCACAAATTGTTGTTCAAAGATTGGAGATCTGCCAATACTTGCAGAAGAAACCAATCTTATCCAAAAATTATCCACCGTTGACTTTTGCTCTGCCATGAGAGAGAGCTGACTGACGTACTCAAACGCATGATTGACAATAGTCAACCAATTCTTGTGAACTTAGTGGCTTTGTGCCAATATTTGGTAACTTTCAGACAAAAAAACCAACAAAAAACAAAAATTGGTGTTAGCCATAATTGGAATTGCCAGGGATTTAAAAGATGATCCCCCGCCCCCGGCACCCAATTACAAAAAAGATCATTTTAGCTGTTTTGAATTTAAGTCCCTTGCAAAAAGAAACTTTCAGTCGCATTCTTAACATTTGTTTTTCAATGCTTGTTTAAATACATTGACACCATGAAACTGTGGTGTTTTATTCAAGGTTGTGATGTGAGGATCTGTTGCCACCCCAATTCTAAAACAAAAAAGATAAAAGTGTAGTTTTCTTTTGCCATAACTGCATGAATATAACGGTGTTAATCAGGGGTTTTCAATCCATGTTACATCAGTGCAGTTAATGGAAAAAAGCAGCAAGTGGACATTGCAGTCATTGCAAGAATAAAAAAAAAGTACTCATGCAGCACATAGCAACGTAATTTGTTTACATTAGAGGAAAAAAGATACCACAGACGTTTTCTAAATTGCCTTAGGAACTTCCTCACAGTGAGGGAGCAGGAAGTGCTTCAAAATAGAAGCTGTGCTGGGATTTTACAGAACAAACTGCCAGTGAACTCCACACCTGTTATTGGTACTTCAGACTTGAAGTTAGTTCTGAGATTCAGTAAAACTGTCTGCCTAAAACCTCGAGAACCGGTTTGCAATATATTTTGTAATTGTTTTGTCTCGAGAGCCTGTCTGTTCCCCATGCTTTAGCATCCAAAGTATATTGACTTTAAATCCCACTACATTGCTTTGCTAGTTAGCTAGCATGCTAACACTGTCAGGAACTAATATTGACCTCTGCAATTAATTACTCTAATGTAACGTAAAGCACCGATAGGACTCATAACATTTAGGTAATCCAAGCACATGTTTATAAATAACCTAGCACACAAGTTACTCTTTGTTACCTTAAGGACAAAATGAAATGAATTAAAGTTGTCAAGCTAACACTTCTGGGTCACGTCACGTAGACAACAGCGTCGTCACGTGACAGATGTTGGCGCACGGCCTCTCCTCCACGTCGCCTCTAAGTGCCGAGATGGCTGGAGGTGTGCGGAGAAAAAGCCGGGGCTCTCCGTCCCCTCTGTGGGGAAAACTCCACACTCTTTGGCAGGACAAGCACTTGGTCCTGTTCAAGACGGAGCATACGTTACTGGTTGTTTCAGTGCTGTGGATCCTGGAAATTGGAATAAACTTGTGGGTCATACAGAAAGTGGCATGTAAGTTGCCGTGCTGCTAGTTAGCATGCTCCTGTGTGATGTCGTGTTCCTGAAGGCGTCCGGATGCTAAATGGCTAGCATTAGCAAAGCATTAACTGAACTCTTAACACCTGCCACTGGATTACACACTCAATCTGTCTTAGTGTCAAACGGAAATGTTTGTTTTAAGTAATCATGATAATTTTAGTATTTTATTAGTTTTGCTGTATAGGTCGTGTGTAAGTTGTTTGAATTTTGCATTCATAGCATGGATTCTTATGCGTATTTGTGGTGACAATCTGATCATCTAAGTAAAATAGTCGGAAAAATAAAATGTTTGCACGAAATACAATGGAAACATTCGCAGTGTGTGATATTCTGTGCTTTTGGTTGTGCAAAAGTTGTAAAATCAGGCTTTGAATTTGCAAGGTTTTTTTGAAAACAATTTAGTTTTTTTGGGAGTTTTATTTTAAATAAACCTTGATTTATTTAAAAACAATTTTAAAATGTCAAAATTAATTACGTTTTCATCCCCAAATGACAAAGTATTGCTTAATTTCAGCATAAAAGTTAACTGTGATAAGAGCAGATATTATTATATCTGTATAATAACTTGCATAGCGCTTTTTCTGATCATTTTGAAAAATGCCATGCAGGATGCTATGTCTCACATTAAAGTAGTCCTTTACGATAAAGATATGTGACAGGTGCATTGCAACAACTGTTGGACTTGTTGTGCAGCCCATTCCAGCCATAAAAGCATAAAATGGCTGATGTCAAAGAAAAAAAAAAAAAAAGAAAGCTCTATTGCTACTGAATAATTAACTTATAGGTCAACATCACTGTTATCTGTAGATTGCCATTCCTAAAGTGAAAAATAAAATTGAATTTAGTATTTCTAATAGTTTTATGTTAGTAATAAATGAATATGACACGTGCAGACACAGAGATCGACTGGAAGGCGTACATGGATGAGGTGGAGGGAGTTATCAACGGTACCTACGACTACACCGAGCTTAAAGGAGACACCGGCCCTTTGGTGTGAGTTTTACAAAGACGTTTTTGCAACGTAGCCTTCTCTGATCCTTTCAGTTCAGAATGTGTTGATAAATCGATCCTCCTGTTACTCCAGGTACCCTGCAGGGTTTGTCTACATCTTCACGGCTCTGTACTACATCACCAGCCGCGGCGTGAACATCCGCCTGGGCCAGTACATTTTTGCAGTGTTCTATCTTGTCACGCTGCTGCTTGTCTTCAGAATATACAACCGCACCAAGAAGGTCTGTCGGTTTTCTAGCAAAACCTCTGGTTTCATCTTGAAACTCCAGTCTGTCAAGTGGAGTTTAATAGCAGAGCAAGTACGCATTTTTTTTTCATCTTCTGACTTTTTTTTTTTTTAGGTTCCTCCGTATGTGTTCTTCTTTGTGTGCTGCGCCTCGTATCGGATCCATTCCATCTTTGTGCTGCGTCTCTTTAATGATCCAGTGGCCATGATGCTGCTGTTTGCAGCCACTAATCTCTTTCTGGATGGATACTGGACTCTGGGCTGTGGTGTGTACAGGCAAGTGTGTGAACTATTACTTATTTTAAGACTTCACTGTTAAAAAAACGTATTCAAATTGATCACATTCCTTCATGACTTGAGGTGATGAAATTACAGCTCAATCTTTCCCTCTTTCTGACAGTTTAGCAGTGTCTGTGAAAATGAATGTGCTTCTTTTTGCCCCTGGATTACTTTTTTGCCTTTTGTGGGAATTTGGCCTCGTCAGAACGATCCCTAAACTTTCACTATGTGCAGCCATACAGGTAAGCACTCCTTTTAATCCAAAACATGAAACTCAGACTTTCTAGTGTCTATATATTTCGGGAACAATCATCCTAAATTTTCCTTTGCTTGCTGTAGCTTCTCCTGGGTTTGCCTTTCCTATTGAACAATCCCGTTGGCTATTTGAGCCGCGCCTTCGATCTGGGCCGTCAGTTCATGTTCAAGTGGACGGTGAACTGGCGCTTCCTGCCAGAGTGGCTCTTCTTGAACCGCTACTTCCACTTGGTCCTGCTGGCAGCTCACCTCCTCACTCTGCTGCTCTTCGCTCTCCGCCGCTGGAAGAGGTGAGACTGACCTGGGATGTGCTGTGATTCCAGGAGAGACGATTTGATTGAACAGATTTTGTTTTAGGGTTTTGTTTGCCTGTGAACCAATAAACTCTCATATGAGTTTGTGTGAATCCCACAGAGAAACAGCAGAAGATCTGCAAGAAACTGAGATTCAGCATGCATTCATAAGGAGCTTCATGTTTTGGGTCATAATATTAGCATAAAGGTCCTCTTAATGTTATTCAAATTTCTAACATGTTCATCAGTCTGTGATGGATCTTTGAGGCATAATGCAGTATCACTGAATTTTGATGCTACTTAAATATTTATATGATCTGAATGGTAGTCCAATGTTTAGTTCACTTTCAAGTACTTTTTTTCTTTAGAAAGCAAACTGTTATATAAATATTTTTTATAATATTTTCTTGTAATTTCTGTTTTTTCAGACCAGGAGAAAACATAGTTGAGCTTCTTAAAGAACCAAGCAAGAGGAAAATCCCTGCTCAGGGCATTACTGTGGATCATATCCTTACAGTTAAATCTTTTTAAAAATTTTAATTTTGATGAGAAATACCCATGCTTGTGTTTCTTCTGAACCTAAGAATTGTTTTTAAATGTTTTTCTTTAGCCTCTATAGCTTAGCAAATCATGCAAAGTCCAGCATTACTTTTACTAATCCTGTATTTTCACAGCTCTTAACTAAAGCCATTACTAAAAATTTAGAATCAGTTCAAACTACTGTGCTTGAAATTACTTTTTAACTTTAAAAGGCCTGAAATGAATAACCATTTCTTTTGTAGTTTAAGTCTTTAACAGCGAGCCACAGATAGTTCTGATTCTCTTCACATCTAACTTCATCGGCATGTGCTTCAGCCGTTCGTTGCACTACCAGTTCTACGTGTGGTACTTCCACACGCTGCCTTACCTGCTGTGGAGTGGCGGTGTCAAGAAGTTGGCCCACCTGCTCAGGTAAGGTCCAGTCTTGAAATTAGAGCTTTCACTTTGACACTGACGTCCAAATTTGTGGTGGAGTTGCACGAGGACAATGATGTGTTTCGTTCTGGTGTGCAGAGTCCTGATTCTGGGGCTGATTGAGCTCTCGTGGAACACCTACCCCTCGACTAACAGCAGCTCTGCATCCCTCCACGTCTGTCATCTCATCATCCTCCTCTGTCTGTGGCTGGCTCCCCCCCTGACGGAAAAGAAAGAACACACGACCGACAAGGAGAACAAGCGTCACTGAGCCTGACGGGACAGGACGTTTGAGTAACCCCCCCATCATTCTCCTCTCTATCGTCGGCACAAGGCCTGCAGAGGGAAGTCACTGTGAAAGACTGTTGCTGGGTGGCTACAAGGAGCCATTTGATGCTTCTCGTCTTTGTTTCCCGCCTTCTCATTCAAGCTCAGCTGCTGATGTACCCGGCCGGTGCACTCTTGCAGTCAGAGAGATGACAAACGGAAAGGATGAATTCTCAGGAGTCTTTTTGTTGTTACATAATTGGAAGTTTTCAAGTGCTGTGGGAAAATCATGGATGCTTAGCGATAATTTGTTCATATACAGAATGTGATGGATTAAAGATCTAAAGAGCTAACCGTAGATCCAGAAGTGTTAAATTGACTACATATCAACATGAATCCGATATTCGTTGAAGGCCTGCATAGTTTTTTTTTTTTTTTTTTTTTTTTTTTTGAAATACTCCAAAAAAACCTTAAGCAGCAATGATTACCAGTGCATATTCATAATGATCACATTACATTTTAATTACTCAAGATACAAAAGGGATTAATGTTTTGTCTCTGGTCAATTTTATTTCAGAAAAGGAAATTGCTGATCATTTAGCTTCTTGGCGTTTAGAACTTTGTTGATTTTCTACCCATCTTTTTGATGAAGCAAGAACACATGACTGATGAGGACTACAGTCTTGCTCACTTGGCTTCGTAGTAACTGCAAGAATTAATATGAGCAATACTTGGACAAATAAAACACAGATTGAAACTTTTATTCCTTTTGTACACAGTACAACAAATGCTTAGCTTCCATTACGTTTTACTATTATGTCGATTGTGTGAGCTAAACTTTCACCAGTTTATCTAATAACCAACGTGACAATCATTGACTGATTCTTTGTTTGGCATAAAATACATAGCAGACTTTAAACTACAGTCTAACCTACGAAAAGCTTATTCAGATGGTCAAGGCATTCCTGTGTTTGCATAAAGCAAATTCATAATAAAAGGTCACTATTGTAAATTGGGGTGGATTTGGCACCGATTTACAGTATCAACCTAATAAAGTACAGCTTTTGTTATCCAGTCGTGAAAAAAGTAAGACGCCCTACAACAGCCTATGTCTCTTTCTATTGAGCTTGGGCGTTTGGATATTTCATATCAGATCATTCTAGTAATATACATAAGATAAAACTAAAGAGAGAGAGAATACATAAATTTTATACAAAATGAAATAAAAATGATAATTCTGATTAGGAATGAGTTAGGACTGCCTCACATTTATTACTTTTTATCAAGTGCAAATGACTGGAACGTTGTGAGGCAACATTTTCAAGGCGATTTGCCCAGTTTAAACCTCAGTCATTTATGTTTGGTGTGATCCTGTCTGTTGAAGTGAGAGTGAAGATGAAGGTGAGACAAGTTTTACTCACTGAAGTTAAAAGAGAAAAGTGTTCTTTGCTCTCTTAAGAAAAACAGAAAGCCAGACTTAATTTGGTAATGGAGAATGCAGATAAACACCAGGGCTTCTGGAATAATGTTCTTTGGACAGATGAGTCTACATGAAATGTATTTGGGCATCAGAAGAGAGGATATGTTTGGCATAAATCAAACAGCCTTCCAGGAAAAGAACCTCATATCAACTGTGAAGCACAGAGGTGCAAGTGTCATTATTTGAGAATGCTTTGCTATTGCAGGACATGGCAGCTCACCCTTACAGAATCCACCATTATTCTGCCACGTATCAGAGGACGCAAGACTTAGAATAATAATTAAAAAAAAAACTAAAGACGAAGCAGAACGGGTCCTTCCAGAATGACAGTGCCGCCCAAATTAACAGTGAATTCACCAAGAACCACTAAGAAATGGAAAGTCAAAGCCCAGATCGGATTTTCGTGAGACATTTTGGAGTGACTTGAAACCCCTCAAACATCTCTCAGCTGAATGTGAGGAGTGGGATAAACTTTCCTTAGCGCAATGTCAGAGACTGGCAGGTGGATACAAGCAGTGACTGAAGTCATTTCAAAGGGGCAAAGAGTAGCTATTAGTGGGTGGGGTCTTCTAGCGTTTTGCTCATTTATTTCCTTTCCTTAATGAGGAAAACAATTTTCATTTTTGTTTACTTATAAACACTTTGTTTCGTCAAAATTTCTTGCTAAGTACAGCTCAACATGTGAACATTTCTTAAAACCAAAATAAATTAAAAAAATAGTTGGGGTGTCCTAATTTTTTCCGCATGACTGTAGATTTGTTTTTGTACCTCTGAACTGACTGTCTCACACATTATTGGGGTTATAACACAGTATGTTGAGCTTGATGTTTTCATCCCAGTGGCGCAGCAGCAGAAACAGCTGTCTGGCTGCTCCTCTTAGACCTGCAAGGTCCACTCCCTCCGGCAGTTTCTGACAGCGCAGCCAGAAGTCTGCTTTCGCTGCCACCAGCTCCCACTCCATGAAGTAGCCAGCACACCGGTGCTCCAGCCACGCCAGAGCGACGGCGGTGGCCCAGGTGGAGCCTTCTAGATCTTCCTGAGCTAACTGGCTGCTACCCTGGAGGTCTGCTAGCTCTGCTGAAGTCCCCTCGTATATATCAGTCTCTGAACCACGGCCGCTGTCGGCTTGTCCAAGGCTTTGACTGTGAGAGGGGCCGATAGACAGCTCCAAGGATCCCTCCTCAGAGCTCGGGAGATCAGGGGGAGAGGTGACAGGGTCTCGGTCCGACAAATGTCTTCGCAGAAGCCTCGACTCCAAAATCAAAGGGTTGTCTACTGGAGTGTGGTGGAAGGGAGGAGCAGTCGGTTTGGCCAGAGAGCATGAGGAAGGAGAAAAGGTGACGTGGTGAATCGTGGGGGCACCTGGAGGCTTGGCAGAGGTGGACAAAGAGGGAGCGCTGGGTGAAGTGCAGCGAAAGGCTGGGCTGAGGCTACGTCGGTGAAGGCTGTAAGGCGATGCTCTCTTAAGGCGGTCCAGCGGGATTTGGACACACTCTGAGTACATCGCCGTCAGGAGAAAAGCCCCTGATGCAAGTTGTAAATGCACCTAAGAAAAGGACCATAAATTAGTGTTAAGACCAATGAAAAAGATACACTGAACATACTGTTAAGAACATACACTCAATACTGAGATGAGAAGAAGGCCCAGCAGAGACTGTACTTTCAAAGGCAACTCAAGGAGCACAACCTGCCAGAGGAGCTGCTGGTCATTGTTCACACTGGCCTTATTCAGTCCGCTGTGTGCACATCCATCACTATGAGGCTCACCCACAAAACAAGACAGGTTCAAACTGCAACAAACGATTAGGTCTGCAGAGAGGATAATCTGAACTGATCTTCCCTCCATCTAGGGCTTGTAGAAAAAAAAAAAGGTAGCTAACACCTCTGCAGTCCCCACACACCCTAGACACAAACTAGTTAGACTTTAAGTTTCAGTCAAATTCCTTATTTGTGTGGACAAACTTGACAAAGCAGGTGTTCTTGATTTGCACCCTTACTGCCTGTGTCTTCCATCTTCCTTTTGACAATCGTCCACCAATTCTTTACAGGGTTCATGTCAGGCACGTTTGCTGACCAGACTAGTTCAGGTCAATAGCTACAATCAATAGCTTCTCAATGGAACCAAACTGTCAAACTGGTAGAGAAGATGATTGCACTGACTGGACTTGACGAAGCAAAGGAGATAAACACCAGTAGACGACATGGTTCTGAAAATCCTCACTTAATGTAAGTAACCGGACCTCACGCTGCTCGACTTCCCAATGGAAACGCAATGTTTACTTTCATGGAAATAGAAATTTACACCACTGAGCACCAGTCTCTTGGCTCAGCGTGTATGTAGTATCTAATAGCATAGAACAATGTGAGTGTAATGCCATTAATACATTAACAATTACACCATGTTTAACAATAAAAAGAAAATATTATGGCTTGTGCTGGACGTGGATCCACCTCACCAGGGGCTGGTAGTCTGGAGTTTCACTCTCTGGCTGTTTGTCGGTCTCTGCTGACAGACAGTGAGATTTGAGGGGAACCTGCTTTCCGGATGAAATAGAGGACCTGAGTCGACCCAGCTGGAACCTGCAAAAACCAAAACGTTTTACTCTAAAAACAATGCAAGCACAGACGAGACTTGAACAGCAAATGATTAATGATACCATAATAATTGTGCCTAGAATGTTACTTGTCCTGGAGTCTATTTAGGGCCTACATTTATGAGTTCTTTATCACCCATCTCACACTGAATTTGACATATTGTTTCACAGAGATTAGAATATAAACTTTACCTGGTACTAAAGAAGCTCTCCATTGACTTGCTCTCTATAGATCGCTGTGAACGATTGCACGACATCCCTGTTGTTACAGTAGCCATGGAACAATATCCACCTGCGTCTGAGATAAGATTGTTGAAGGAAAACATTAAACAAGAATGTTTCAAACATGGTGTGAATATTAAATTTATTCTAAAATATCTACATATTTTAGAAGAATGGAATTTTACTTTAAAAATGAATCATACTGTATTTTCTGTTTTTCTTTGAGCATGCAGGACAATATTACATGAAAATGAGTTTGCCTCATTAGTGTTGAGGTAGAATAAAAAGGGACAGATACAGGGACAGTGCTGAATTGAAATAAAGACCTTTAAAAATTTACATATTTTGCGTTTTCCTAGACTGAAGGTTTTGTGAAGCAAGAGAAGTGTCCCCTGAGTGTCGCCATTGTTGTCAGTATCCACTAATATTCCAAGATGTAAGCTGACAGAAGTGTCAGCTCTATTTGAAAGAAACTCAAAGACTTATGTAAAGTTTGGTTCAAAGAAGTAGGTGCTGGTATCTTTTTGGTGTGGTCTACCTGTAAAGTTCCTGGTGTCTTCAGCCTCTTCACTTTCGCCACTGATCCGCCGTCTTCCCAGACCGGCAGAATAGACCCTCTGCCTGCGACCTCCAGGCTGAGAAGTTTGCCTGTTCCCCATATGAATCCCTACACGAACAAAAGCATAACCAGCAATCTGGCAACTGAAATATAACATGATCCTCGTCTTTTTACCCATATAATTCATGACCCTACAGCATGTCTAATTCAAATGCTAATTCAGAAACAAACAGGTTGTTTCTCCCTTCTGCTCTCCGATATGTTCAGTGGAATTTTATTTGATAGACCAATGCAAGGTGGGTCATAATTTTGAAGTGAAAGAACAGGGATAGAAAGCCAACACTGTGTAGAAGAATCCTCTACAATTTTATCTGCAGGCCTTTTTGGATTTGTTTCTTCAAGCATTGCACATTTGGTACAAACAACACTGTCAAAAAGTGAAACCATGAAGCTTTTCATAGCCAATGTAACTTCAGAACATACCTGTGTTTCGGACGTCTGTGCTCTCTGCCAAGCCTTTGCTTGTGCTGCCATTGGTAATGGTGAAGGCTGTGTACATGCATATGATGTTACAGTGCTTGCTTGTCTGAATAGCCTTCATACGATACCGTTTACCTGACCCTGAACGG